GGGGTAGGGGGGGTAGGGGTGGAGTGTAAGAAGCTGGCATGCAGGGCAGCCAGCGGATGGAAGCCCAAGTAGCAGAACCCAGGGGGGAAAGGTCTCCTTTTGTGTGTATGTGTATGTGTATGATGGTGAACCTGTCTTTCCTCCACCTCGGCCACTGCCATCTCCTCCTCCTCCTACTACTACTACTACTACTACTACAGCTACCTGGCCCCCAAGGCTGAGAGGAAACCCTGGGCTGATGACTGCCCTCCTCACCGCCCGGCCCTGTTGCCCCTTCCTTTCCGCTGGACTGTACTGCACCGTACCGTATCGCAGGCCGACATTCCGTTCGTACTTCTTACCCAGGGTGCGTGTTGTGCGTGTATCGCCTGTATGCGTTTATATGTATGTGTCTGTGTGTCTGTCTGTATGTGTGTCTGTATGTGTGTGTCACATGGTTATGATTCTGGTAGCGCACCGTGATGTCACCTACCTGGGTCCGGGGTGCCGTACGGGCCAGAGGGCTCCTGCTTCCTCACACTGTGACAACCGCCATCACATCCACAAGATACCCTTTTCCCCTCCAAGGCGCCCGCGTACCAGTTCTCCTTTCCCCCTCCCCCCCACTCCCCACTCCCCCTCCCCCCCCGCGCCCCAGTCATCGGCAAGGAGAAGCGCGAGGAGGCCCTGTCCCGGTTCCAACACGACCCGCACTGCGGAGTGCTGGTCATGGATCAGGTGGGTGGGAGGGGGGGGAGAATGTGTGTGTGTGTGTGTATTGGGGGGGGAGGAACGGGTACCGGCTTGGCGCGATTTCCTCCGACGGCGATTGGAGCTGGCGGGGGAACGGGCGGGGGGCAATGGTGATGGTGGGTCTTCACCGTCGTCTAATTCACGAGGGGGCAGTGGTACCCGAAGGCGGGAAAGCCTATGCATGCGCGCATCCCCTTGCTCACCTTTCCCGCCAAAGCTGCCTCCACCCTCGCCACTCGCAGCTGGGTGCCGTAGGTTTGGATCTGTCGTTCGTGTCGTACGTCCTGCTGATGGAGCCCCTGGAGGACGTGAGCTTGGAGCAGCAGGTCTGTATGTATGTATCTATGTGTGTGGGGCGGGGGGGGGGAGAAGTGTAGGGTGTGTGCGAGGGGTCTGTTTTGCGGCGTTTCGGGATTATGTGTCCTACGGGTCTGGATTTATAAAAGTGGGTTAAAGTGGGGTATCTCACTCACCTTTGTGTGTGTTTGTGTGTACGTGTGGGTGGGTGGGGCAGTACTGCGACTGTCCGGTACCATGCACAAGAAATACCACACAAAAGTGAGTGAGATAAACCTCCACAAACGCAGCTCTGTAGCGAAATCCCCCGTGGTGGTGCGTGGTCCCGCTTTCTGTGGTCAGTCCGGGGCCCCGCCACCGCTATCTCGCTGCTGTTGCTGTCTGTGGTTGTTTGCTTTTGCTGCCTACATCATGTCATTGTCGAACCCCATCTTCATGGGTGGTTGGTGGTTATGCTCAGGTGGTTAGTCGCGCTCACCGCATGGGTGCCAGGCGGGCGGTGGAGGTGGAGACCCTGGTCATGAGGGGCAGCGCGGAGGAGGTCCTGCTTAGGCAACTGGACGACCGGAGGAGGAGGAGGGACTGGACGACGCCGCGGACAGCGCAACAGCCACAGGTGCTGTGTCACAAGCTGCAGCAGCAGCAGCAGGAGGAGGAGGCGGAGGAGGTGGACTTGCTACACAACAAACATTGCACCGGCGGCAGTGGTGGCGGCAGTGGCGACCGCGGCGGCGGGTGGTCCGATGTGCGATGTCCCGATCGTGAGGGGGACCCGCGGGTCGCTGAGGACCTCGAGGGTACGGTGCAGGTATGTATACGGCGTACGGTGCGTACGATGTCGTTGTCGGTTGGCACCGGGCGGTTGGTGGCTTGTGTAGGGTTTATCATAATGGTGCAGAGGAGGAAGGAAAGTTGAGTGGGTGGGGATGAGAATGGGATTGTGAACCCCAGTTGAGACCTGCGCATACATTTGTAACGGCGCTGGTGGAGGGGGTGAAGGGACGGAGCGACCAACGTCTTCCCCCACCCGGCGGGAACTCTGTGCTGAAGCGGCTCTCATTTCCTCTTCCGCTTGACTTTCTGCCGTACATTTACATGTATAAATAAAAACACATTGTGTTTCTGTACGCCTCCGCACTGGTAATTGTAGGTGGACCGCCGTGCGCTGCGCAACCAGTTGTTCCTGCTGATGCAGAAGGTGCGGCTGGGTGGGAGAAGAGGGGCGGGCAGCGGCGGCAACGGGGATGGTGGCGGCGGCTGGAGTGGGGTTGGGGCCAGTCTTGTCAGCGGTAGCAGCGGTAGTGGCAGCGGGCTGCACAGGCTGCTGGTACAAGGCGGCCGCCGCGGCGAAGGAGCCGCCGCCGCCGCCGCCGCCGGCAGCAACAGCACCGGCGGCAGCGATGCCATTGGCCTTGAGGCCATCAGCGCTGGATCTATCGCAACAGGCCGTAGCGCCGTCACTGCAGTTGCGGCGGCGGCTGTTAGCGCAGCGGACCCAGCGGCCGCCAGCACCACTGCAAGCGCCGCGAGCGCCTCAACCATCACAACCACCACAACCGTTGCAAATGCGGTTACTACTCACATTGGCAATGGGGTGATGGCTGCACCTGGGGTGAATGTGGCAGTGGCGGCGGCTGGCAGCGGGGGAGCAGGGCCAGTAGTGACCCATGGGTTTGTTCAGCAGGAGGGGGTTGCGGAGGAGCAGAAGGCCCCCAAACGGCGCCGGGTGCGGTTCGCGGGGGAGGAGGGGGAATGAGGGGTGTATGGCGGTGTGGACAGATTGCCAAGGGCGCGTCTTCCTGCTCACATCCTCACATTGCAATCGTACGACGGGAAACCACTTCTTGGGGCCTTGGGCCCATTCCTTGTGTGCGGTTGTGTTCAGTGGCCTAGGGCACTAGGTGGATAAGTCCACCCCCCACCACTCAACCCAAGAACTACATCTCTCTGTATGTATGCATACACGTCTGTGATGGCAGATGGCCATGCATTATTTCTGATGATGGAATAAGACTCCGCTCCCGGTAGGTTTTGGCCATGCGCGTTTTCCCTGTGCAGTCTAGGTTGTTATCATCTAGGTGAGTGGTGTAGTGTACTGCAGTGCTTCACCGATGAACCACACATTTATGTTCTGCACCTCTAGTGAACGTGACAGTGGCATTTGTTTTGCATTTGATTAATATGTTCGCGTGTATGTATAAACATGTATTATGTGACAAAATTCCGCTGCACACACCCTGATGAAGATGATGATGATGATGAAGATGATGATGAGCCGGAATGACGGGGAAGACAGAGCCACATGATTGATTGGACCTCTACCAGTTCCTAGGGGTCATGCTTCCGGCAAACTCGACACATGTCAACTCGGTGTCCTCTGCTATTTGGGTGCGGCAGCAGTTGGCTTTGATTCCTTGTCCTCGTCACCATCCTCTTCATCGTCGCCCTTCAACATGGCTCTCCCCGCGCACCACTAAGGGTGGACGGGAGGCCGGTTGCGCACGGCCTCTGTGGATGCAGAAGCCTCTTCCCCCCACCAGACACATGATTTCACCAAAAACACAACATCCCCCGCTCTGCTCTGGAGCCGAGGTTGTGGAGGCAGCAGGAGCACCAGCAGAAGGAGCGGACTGCGGCGAGGAGCAGCAGCAGCAGAGCGCCGCATGCACTCTCTCCTGTAACACACTGCGACGGGTATATGACGGAGAGGAGCTCCATCCAGTCTCAGCCCATTCACTGAGGACTCCGCAGGGCACAAGCGGGATCCCCCGTGAGACGCCCTCCTCGGCTGCGATCAGCTCGTAACAAGGTTTCCGACCTCTCTTGAGCTGTTGCGCGCCTTTGTGGGGGTGTTCGCCCCCACCAACCAAAAGGCCCAAGCCATCCTGCCGTACCTCCTCCTCCTGCCTAACACTGGTGTCCCTGCACTCGGAGGAACTTGCTAGTCAACACTAAAACGTATGAGGCTTGCCGGCCGGCACACCCACACACCTACAAAGTCGTTGCCATCTCTAAGCCATGGTCAACGACGGCAAGCGATACGAACAAACACATGCGGGCTCTGTAGGCGCCCTACTGTTCCGGGTAACACCATCACCGCCGCCGCAACACCAAAACGCATCAGCCTCTTATCCCGGACCCCCAGAATCCTTTCACGACGCCGGAGAAGATTCAGAAGCTCCTCCTACTCCTCCCCCCCTCCTGTCTCTGCAGCTCCCTTGTGCGGCCCGCACAGACCTCAACACAGCGAAACGCCCCTCCTGCCACTGGGGGGGCCCTCCCCCCCCAAGTTGCCACCGCCTTAAACGCACACAGGAGGACCAACACCGCCGGAGCTGAAGACAGCGGAAGATCAGCACCATGGGCGCTGCTTAACACGGCATCCCACCCCTTTTTGGGGCTCCCCCCCACCCCAACCCCCTGTGTCTACGAACGCCATCCACCAGCTAGCTGCTACACCCCACTTCATATCGCAGCGTGTAAACGTTCACACGAATGCGCAGTAGCGGGCGGTAGATAGCGCCCCATGCTTCAGGTTACAGCTGCGGCGAGCACGCAGCTCCCCCACGGCAACTCCCTCATTGGGCGCAACGGTCGCAGTGGCGGAAGGGCGGGTGGGCGGGCGGCACCAGCTTGCCATCACTTCCACCTTTTGCCGTCCACGTTCCCATGTCAAGCAGGTCCGGGGTATTTTCCCCTCCAAGAACATAGGAGGGGTTGCGACCCCTCTCCCACCTGCAACCTTTTCCCACTAGGTATTATTATTATTTCATCGCCGTCCTACCGGCTCCCCCACCACACACCCCACCACCACCCCGCCCTTCACTGCCCTTCCCCCCCCCGGATGTCACGCTACACCATCATGGAGCGCCCCAGGCCGCCCAGACCCATACCACCCAGACCGTACATAAGGCCACCACCACCCATTCCGCCCATGTCGTACAGACTCCGCTCCAACCGATCCTTCTTGGTGCGCCCGCCTGGCGGCCCGGACTGTTGTACGACACAATGTACGCAGGGGGGAGGTATGGCTGTCACGCAAGGTTTTCGGTGCCGCACACGGGAAGCGGGGGCAGGCTGCGAATAACAAGCAGCAAGCAACGGTCCCCCACCACTCTACCCTACCCCCGCACGCACACATCCGTCTTCCTTCCGCAAATGAAAATCCCATGTACCCGCCAAGTCCGCATTCGGGCCGTACCAGGGTCCAGGATCCTCTTTTCTCTTTCCATTCCCCCCTTCAATCTCCCGCATAACCACCACCCGCCCAACCGGCCCCTGCAGCGGTCCGTCCTCCCCCCCCACCTGCATGAAGTCATGTTGCACCAGGTTGGCTCTCAGCAGCAGCGCCCGGGTGTCCCGGCAGTACGCCTCACCCGCGGACAGCACCCGGGAGAAGGTGGTGGCGCGCAGGTCGGCCTTGCTGGCGTACAGCACCTGGCGGAACCAGAGGGCGCGGGAGGGGAGGGGAAGAGGAACCACGAGCGAGTGAGAGAGAGGAGGAGGGGGAAAAGAGGGGGTTAGGACAAGGGAGATACCCGCCACCATCTGCCTATCCACTCGCCTTGCCAGCAAGAAGCTCCGTTCTCGTGATCTCACAGACCACAGCGCTACTGCGTCCCCTCGACCCCTCCTTCGTTCTCCCCATCTGTTCCTCTGTCCCTTTCCCCGGGCCCCAACCCGCCACACGGTCCTTTCCCTCCACCAACTCCCTGTCTCCCCCCCCGCCCACACACAGCCCCCGCCCAGGGTTTCCCACCTTGGTGGCCGAGTCAATTCTGGCGGAGATGGCCCCGTCCATAATGAGACCCGCCAACTGCTTCTCCAAATCGCTATGGACGGGACGGGACGGGACGGCAAGGGAGGGGGGAGAGGGGTATTGTGTGCAAGCTAATACCGCAACTTGACAGCCGACGTCCCAAGCCGCAGCCACTGGAGGGGCCCAAAGCAACCAGGCAAATGCCCCGGGTAGCCCCCAGGTAGGGTATTGAAATATGTGAGTGTGTGTGTGTTGAGGGAGGGTCTAGGGAGAGGGGGAGCAAGGGGGTGCATTGCGGGATCAACACCACTGCACACATATGGCGAAGGTGGGACTTGCTGGCCCTTGTGGCCTGGTGGGTTCCACCAGAACACGAACTTACAACGGGCTTGTTGGTGTTGTGAGTGGACATGTGACAGGAGAAGCGTGGCTGATAAATCCTCCTTACCCTCTTCTCCCCTTCCTTTCCTTTCCCCATCCTAACGCCTCACGAACTCCCCCCGATATCACCACACCTGCTGTCCCGTCCCCCCTTAGACGACTTCCCTTTGCCCCCACCTCCTTCACCACCACCATCACTTTGGTGACCTTCAGTTGCGGTTCCATCTCCTCCCTTCCCCCGCGGCGCTTTCCCTTTCCGTACCTCCCCTCCCCATTGCTTTGGGCTGGGGTAGTTGTCTCTACTAGCATTCTGCATCCTGCGAACCCTCCCTCCCCCTCCCCCCCCCCCGGCACTCTCACCCCACGGGTGTGTTGAAGGCCACCGCCATGGTCGCCAGGTTGACGGAGGAGAAGGGCTGCACGTACTGGCACAGAGCTCGGTGGCGGATGAGCGCGTACAGCTGGGGCACGTACTGCAGCAGGGGGATGGGGGGTGGGAGGAAGGGTGAAAAGGGAGGAGGGAGGAGCGGGGTGGGGCATCACGGTTCTGCCCCGTTGGCCTCTTCCCTTACATCCCTGAACCCCTCCCCTCCCCTCCCCTCCCCTCCCCACCTCCGCCACGTGCATGTCCAGCAGCAACGTGGGTTTCAGCGCCTCCAGGCACCGCAGAGCGGAGGCATACTGGCTGTTATAGAAGGCGTGGACGAGCTCGCGAATCTGAATCAGAGGGGGGAAGGGGGCCGAAGGGGGGAAGACGACAGGGTACGACAGGGTAGGGGGAAACGAAATAGGTGCACAGGTGTGTCCGCCGAATCATAGCCTCGCAAGGCGCGCACACACAGTTGCGCATGCGGCGGCGCCATGCACCAACACCCGCGTGGGCGGGAGATGCGGCGGCAAGGATTCTTCCATTCGCTGGTCATTCCCTCCTTCACTTTCAAATTTCTATGTCTACCATCGGCTCAGGCGGTGGCTTCTCCAGCTAGGAGAAGAAACCCCCCCACCTCCTTTTCTTTCCCTGTTTCCCCCCCCCTGGACTACCCATCTATTTCGGGTATCTGCTCCATTCGCCAGTGGTTCGTCTTACCCGTTCGTCCCCTCCCTCCTCTTCCCTCCCCTCCCCCCCCCCGGGGTTACCTCGGGTGCCAGCTCCAGGACCTCCCGGAAGCCAATGTTGGAAATGACCCGGGTGCGCAACTCGGATCGGTCGAGGGAGGCCAGCGCACACAGACTGCCGTACACCGCCAAGTCATGCAGCGCGATGACGTCAGAATACGATGAGCCCAACTCGGGACTGACCTGCGCGCGGTGTGTGTATACATATGTATGTATGTATGTATGTATGTATGTATGTATGTATGTATGTATGTATGTATGTATGTATGTATGTATGTATGTATGTATGTATGTATGTATGTATAAAGAAACGCAGGCGTGGAGGGGGCCACGATAGGAGGTAGGAAGATGAGCGATTGACTGAGTGGATGGGGACCGGCCCGCGCATCTGCCAGTTCAACTTTCCAGAGTTATTTGCCGTCTTGACAATCCCCTATAGGGGCTGCACGTTACCACCACCACACTCTCCTCACCCGCTCCCTCCCTCCCTCCCTCGGGCCGGCCCCACCGCAGCCCCTCCTGCATTAATCCATTTTCTCTTCCCCCCCCCACTGACTGATCCAACCCGGGACAGAACCCCCCTCCCCCTTCCCCCCCCTGCCCCCAGGGCCCCCTCCCGTCCCTCCCCCCCCCTGCCCCCAGGGCCCCCTCCCGTCCCTCCCCACCTCGCAGAACTTCCTGGCCGCCTGCTTGAACTTCTTGTTGTGCAGCAGGTGCAGCCCGCTGGCCGCCCTCAACTTGGCGGTGGTAACCGGGTCGCTGGACACGTCGGGCGTGGACTCAGCCTTGCCAATCTGGAGGGCGGCGGGGAGGGTTGTGTGCGTGCATGTGTGTGTGTGTGTGTGTGCATGTGTGCGTGCATGTGTGTGTGCGTGTGTGTTTTGGGTGGGGAGGAAGGAGAAAGAGGGGTAAATTACACGTACCACAAGTCGAGGATACCAAACTTGCAGACCGCTGCTGCTGCTTGAGTCCAGAGCAACAATAACTGACGCGAGTGTGCGAAGTTGAAAATGTACTTCGACATTTTTTCGGCGTCGTGTACCAGTACTCTTGCACTCACACATTGCAAGCAACAAGCGGTCCACCGCTAGCGGTACCGCAGTAGGGGGTATGTGCGGCCACTGTGAAGCACATAATGGAGCGCGCTGCAGATGTGGCTGAAAAGATAACATCGTGCTGGATTATGGTAAAAGGCCTGAGCGGCAGGAAACGTGAAGCCGGCCCCGGCGCCGGCCCCGGCTTTCACAGACGGGCCCCTGCACCTGTGCGGAACCTGTAACTTGGTAGTATTACTAGTAGTAGTGGTGACCTCGTAAAAAGACGTAGTAAGCTGGTCGTCTGCCTGGCGCCCCCCCCCCGCGGCTTTCACGGAAATAACAACCCTTGGGCCCCGCCCACTACCCCGCCCACTACCCCAGAGACACACACACACACCCAGACACAGGAACACAAACGCACGTGCAGTCGACACGCACACAGGTGCACTGTTGAACCTGGAGCCCTTCTCACATAGTTCGCCACGTGGACAAAGTTTCCCAGCTCCAGCGCCGTACGGATAACAGCCAGGCACATGGCCACCACGTGGCGAGATGTCGTACAGTAGTCCCTTGTACGAACATAGCACTTGAAGGCCGTCTGATGATGTAGTAGGGAAGAGGGGAGGAGGGAGGGCGCTGGCGGGGAGAGGGAAACAGGGACTTGGTTGCGTCTGACACAAAACACATCGGCCCCTCTTGAATGCAAACCGCCCAGACGCTGCTCGCCTTGTTATTACCAACAACAACAACCCCCACCATCAACCATGATAACACAGTCGGCTACTGTCCAATGCCCGCATTTCCCTCTTCATTAGTACTTGTTTCACGTGTCGTACTTACCTGCAGGTCTCCCCTGTCGTACGCCCAATCCCCGAGATCCGAATGCCCCATGCGGATGCTCTCCTTCATCAGAGCGGCCTTGAAGCTCTTCATGTGGAGGAAGGAAGGAAACGGCAAACGGGGGGTTGGGTGGGGTTGGGAGGGTGGAAGGGAGGAGGGCTTGTGGTGAGGACCCGTGAACCGCAGCAAGCGAACCCGCACGCACACGGAATATATCCCACGGGTGTGTCTGTGGGAACATGGACGGTGAGGTTGGTCAGTAGGAGGTGCGGGCCGGGGCCGGTGCAGGCGGCCCCAGTGGGCGAGTTAAGAAACGGGATCTCCCTCCTCTCCAACGTCCCCGTTCAGTAAGTAAAGCAATTAGTTCCGGTGTCAAACTGTATCAAAGCAGCAAGAACCAAACCGAGTTTTACTAAAATTAAACGCAGGGAGGAGCACCTGGATGACAGGGACTCCCACTTTGACACATGTACGGCACAAGGCGCGACCGAGGGAGGAGACACGGGCGGGGCCCGGGGAGTACATGAAGAATTGAATTCCCCATGTCCCACTCCAAACGGGAGCCCTGTTCTGGGCCCCTGGTTACCTGGAGCTCAGATTCCAGCCGCTCTCCCTTGGCTGCAGACCTGCGTTCAGTGGCGTCCACCCAGGACCTGCAGAGACAAAACCAGGAGGGAGCGAAGGTAGCGGAAGAAAAGCCCCCAAGGAGGGGGGTAGGAAGAGGCGGGGGTAGGGGGGATACAAGGGCAAACGAAAGGGGGAGGAACCCATCATGAGGGGAGGGGGGTTGACATGTTGGTGAAACTAATTTGAAACACAATGCGAGCGTACAAGCACGGGTTTGGGACATGTATGCTGGAACCCCAGGGCCTCCCTCTCTCCCACACCTGTCCATGTTATAACACGATCCCAGGCGTCCATTAATCTTGGTGACAACCTCTTGGTACCGGTGCGTGTTCTCGGTCTGGAAAGACATCATCGGGCAAGACTGGACTCAGGAAGGGACTGACGTCAGCAGGTCGACAAAACCCCCAATATGTCCACGAGAGTTGGACTGGGATTGCATAAATGACCAACGTTTCACGACGTCTGCGGAAACGGGATAAGAGAAAGACCGTCCTAACCATGAAAGGACACACCTTCTTGAGCTCGTCATGTGCCATTCTGAGCGCTTCCAGCTCTAGTGGCTTGCCCGCAGTCCGGTCCGCGATAAAGAGGAGCCGATCTATTTTGGCATGCCCAGTGTAATTTGAGATGTAGGCCTGTTGAACCAGGACCATAACCAGTATTGAAATAAACCGAGCGCTAGAATAGTTTTCCAATACAGCTCTGGACGTGGGCGCATGGTAGGTCAACTTCTCACCTCCAGGTCGAAGGAACCATGGTCCGCAACAGGGTTATCCTCTTCCATGCTAGTAGCCATTAGCAGATGGCCGCCGACAGGCCGTCCGCAACAAAGCCCCTGCTTACTACTGTGGTACCGTGACACCGAGTAAATCTGTAACCACAACTTAGGGGACACGTCTCTAGTCCTAGCAAAATGGAGAGGTGTACTCTTCGTGTCACGCCTAATCCACGAGCTAAGTTGCCTGCGTGACAGTTAGAATGGCGGTTGGGTTTGAGAATATGATACCTGTTACCTTTGTTAACTGTTCAACATGAAACAATAGAGCGAACGTGAAGCAATAAAACAGCCGCAAAACAATTCAATGATCGCCCATTTCCCGGGACCAGGCTCCTCTCGACGCGTTTCGGAGCCCCAAGACTCCATCTGCAGACGTCGTGCCGTACATCTGCCTCTGCTGCTGTTTACTGGCGGCTGGTTGAAAGCAGGCTGGTTGGCTGCCACGCAACCCGAGCACCTCAGTCCGGCCCAGAGGTCGGCAAACCCTGAATAACTGTCACGGGTACTGGTGCCAGGGTCGAATAACTGTATGGAATTTTTTTGGTAAAAGCCGAGGAAAGGTCGTCAATTGACTGTTCGTTATGAGAACCTCTCAAAGCTAGCGTTTACCTCCTTGCAAAATGGAAGGTTTGGTAACCAAATGATGAAGTTTACAGCTTCAAAACTGCGCAAACCTGCCTTTTGGGGGGAATTTCTGCACCCTGCCGTACGGCTGCCGTACCAGCGATGAAGAATAGAGTTGAATTTCTGCAACGGGTACAACGGAAGGACCCGCTGTACCAGCGGCGTTTGCCGACCCCTGGTCCGGCCGCTTCATCCACACATGGGCTATGGCATACAGCGTATCTTTTACAAGGGAAGGCGCTTGAGCACGTCCATTCAGCATGCGGCAGCAGAGACAGCGCAGAGAACAAAAAAAATCCGAGAATCGGTCCACCTACCACGAAACTCACCTACCGTAAAGGCGGAAGTCTATCACCCAGGCGCCCAAAGCAACAAAGAATTACCAAAGGTTGCCACAAAATGGGGGCGGGTGCGGCCTGCATGAAACCATACCGCGTCGAGCCAGTCAACCAATGATATACATGAAAGGCAGCCAGCAAGGAGCGCGCTGGAGGAGCAGCCTGCGCAGAGCGCCAACGTCACATAGATACACAAGGTTTCAGATGAAATAAGTTTTGCGGAGGCCCAAACAACACACTCCATCTCCGTCATCTCTCCATGGGCACAATCTTCCTTCCCATCATCTTCCATCATCTCTCTCCATGGGTAGAGCCTACGGCGGTCTATGCCCTCTCGCCATTCACAACCAAACCAAAATATTTGTATCCCCCCCAACCCAATCACCGCTACAAGTACGCTACAAATACACCACCATCAAAAAGAATACGTGGGCTTGGGGGCGCGCGGTTTGTGCGATAGATCCATGCAGCGCTCTACTACTACTGCTGCCGCTACAGATACTACTACTACTACTGCTGCGCTGCTGCAGCTGCTGCGCCCCCCCCGCTACGTGTGCTCCTAACGCTTCCAACACCACCACAGCACCAAAAAAGCATAATCAGAAACCAATACACGGGTAACGAATGTCACTGTGTGTGCGCCTCACGTCGTGTCAAGCTCCGCAATCTACGGCGCACGCGCGCACACCGCCGAAAGCCGAGAGAGAGAGAGACGAGGTTCTCTGCCGCTGTGGTGAATTGGCGCGACTCCGCTGCGGCCGCTGCAGCACCATAGCAGCCGGGCCACGACCACCGTTGCGCACGCTATCTTGGCTGCTGCTTTCTTTTTTTGTTATTTTTGGTACAGAATTCTCTACATCTTGAAAATTTTCACACGCGACACCACAACGCCATGCCCGTGCCGCGGGGCCATAATTGCTATTATATACGCACCCATCACCTGCCCTAAAAAGCTAGGTCAGACCCCATTCCATTAGAGACTTCAGTCACATGCGCAACCAAGGCCGCAGGATGCCACGTACACACAAATCATGTGCCTTCCAGTCGACGTCCCACCTTCGAGAAATCAAACGACACAATAGCAGCCTCTTCCGTTGACCACCTACAAATATGCAGTTAGCCTTCTTCACAGCTTCTATCAATCATCATCAAGAGGCCGTGTTGGGTACCTAGATGCGCGCCCTGGTCAACCTCGCCCTCCCAGATCGCCAATCCAGGCGCCTCCTACCAGGCCGATCAGGCCTCTGTCACACAACCCCCAACTTAGCTATAAAACCTGCGGCCGCGCCTGTAGAGTAACAGCCAAAACCAAGCACCCCCAAAAAGAAAAAAGGGTATATGACAAAACTGTGTTGCCCGCCCTGGTCTCGGCGTGCAGAGACCCACCTCCATCCCCCCTCCCCACATCCACCCACCACCTAGGATCAATCAACAACGATCATGTCGCACGTCGTTTCGTTTCACCAGGGAGCTGCTCCTCCTCCCCCAACCAACTATTCACCCTTGGGTTGGCTGAGCCGTCATGCAAGGCGATGGGGACCAGGCGAAGATGGGAACGGAAAGAGGAGGTCAAGCGAGAGCGAACGCAAAGGACCAGGTAGGTAGGCAGGCAGGTAGGCAGACGTCAGGTAGGCAGCGCTTCCTTACCAGGTCGTTTCTCACTCCTTCCCTCTACCTCCTGCCCTTCCCCTCTAATCCTCTTGCCGGCGGCCTCTTCCTCCTGCGGTCTCCCCCCCAGAACAATCGCCCTCAAAACACCGCGTACAGGTGTGATCGTGTTTGGTCGTCTGTCTATCCGCTCCTTCTAGAAGCAGGGAGAGCAAAAGAGCCAGATATCCATATTCCCTCCGCCGCCGACTTCAAAACCAGCCTACTCCCACGTTTCCAGCGCCCGCCCGCCCTCTACCTCCCTACTCCCTGCCCGTTCCTCACCCCTAGCAACACCCGCCACCTCACCCCAGCAAGCTGGCAGCAGAGCAGCCGCACACACAGGCACCGCGGCACGGGCAACAGGCAGGCTTTGCAAAGGTAGGTTCACCACAGTCCCCTTGACAAACGGTCCAGGCCAAACCCCCGGTCCGACAACAACAACAACAACAACAACTACTACTACTACTACTAAGCAAGGCCAGACCTGCCGACACCGGGCCAATCCCCCCTAGCGTTACTCCGGATTAACGCCTGCAGCCAACGGACCTGTCCGTGCTTAAAATGTGCTGCAATCACCTGATCTACGGATGGGCCCGAATGCCCCTAGGTAGGGCTGCTGCGAAGGAAAAGAAGGCAGGTGCACAATACCGTCTCCACCGGGGCACATACGCACACCCATCGTGGACTGCAAAGTGGTAAGTGGTACGCAAGTCGATTGCAACCCTAGGCGCCGAGTCGTCCGCACACTCATCATCATCATTATCATCATCGTCGTCCCCTTCCCTACCCGCAGGCCACGCGCGGCCACTGGCCCCTGCTAGACAGCTGAGATGGCGCCGCAGCCGCGGCATCGCACCACCGCCACCCTCGGGACGCGGCAGGGTGCGGCGGCTCAGGGCAGGGCGGCAGGGCGCTGCGGGGAGCCAGGCGCAGAGGGGACGGCGCTGCCACCGCTGCCGCTTCCGCCAGCCCCAGGTGGGGCCCCAGGTGGCGGCGGGGTGACCGCCCCTGGAGCCGCTGGCGGCACACCGCGGCCGCGACCTCGTCCAAATCCGAATCCCACACCCGCTAAAGGTCCCACTGCCACTTGCTCCTGCAGCAGACAACCCACATCAGCAGCAGCACGGAGGAGGGAGGGAAAGACCACGAACCACGAACGAGTGAGAAGCTGCTGCCACGGAAAGAGTGTAGAAGAGGGAGGGAGGGAAGGTAAGGGGTGAGGGGTGGGTGGGTGGGAAACTAACTATAGATGGAAACCCAATAAGGTAAAACGACTCCCGACAACCAAACCGCAAACGGCTGGAGTGGTAAGGGAGAAGGGTGGGACGGGTGGAAGGGGGCGGAAATCTAAAATTTGCACAACAAAATAGTTTATATCAGCTGCAGATGCAAGAACGCGAGGACATGCGGAAAGGCAGGACGAGGCCACAACAACGCATTTAAGCGCATCAGGTCTGTGCAAGGCTGCGAGCAGCACTGCACGAAGAGTAAAGAGTATGCTAGAGGGCATTTCTGAGGCCGAGCTCGGGCTTTGGGCCAAGACATGTCGCCATTTGTCGTACCCTGGGCCCATGAGAGGAGCCTCCGTGATGGAATGGGCTCCCTGGAGCCTCCGGCAGCGCCGCCGCACCGGCGGAAGAAGCGGCGGCGGCGGCGGCGGCTGCTCCGCTGACGGCGGTGCCGGAGGCTGCAGCCGCCGCCGCCGGTGCGCTTGCCGGCCCTCCGCTCATCCGTCTCGGGGCAGGCGGCCGCCCGGACGCCGCCGGCTGTCGGGGCTCGTCAGGCCCCCCGCGGGGCGGCAACGGTGAAGCCCCCCCTGCCGCTGCCGCCCCCGGGCCTGACGGTGCCGCCACCGCTGCTGGGTCGCGCCGCCAGCTGGCGGCATCATCAGCATGGCCGTGATGGCCACCACCGTACACGTGGTAGTGACCGCCAGCGCCGCCGCCGCCGCCGCCACCACCACCACCACCGCCGCCACCACCACCACCGCCAGCGCCCCGACCATGACCTTGGTGAAAACTGGCATACTCAGCGCCGCTGCTGCGACGGCCGCCGCCGCCACCACCGCCGTCGGCGCCGCTCACCCGCGCGGCGCGGCGGCGCTCATGGCGACGGGCCCGTGCCGGCTGGCCGCCGCGGCGGATCTTGGAACCGCCGCCGCTGCCATCACTCTCACTGCCGTCAGTGAGTAAGCTGGGGTCGCTGCTGTCGGCGCCGCCGCTGGCGGAACCGACGGCGCGGAGGTGCGGAAGCAAAAGCGGAACCACAGGCGGCGCTGGGTCTGCTGGGGGAACGGCCGCTGCGATGGCGCCACCGCCACCGCTACCACCGCTCCCTGCATCGCTAGCAGTTGCACCAGCGGTGGCAGCGGCCACGACTGCCGCGGTCATCGCCTCGTCCGCCGTCGCATTCGACTGCCGCCGGCTGCCGCGGCCGCGGCGGCCACGGCGCGTTTTCCGCTTCTTCGGGGCTTCTTCGCCGGCGGCAGCAGCTGGAGCACCGCCGCCGGCTGCGGCTGCCGCTACATCATCATCCTCGTCGTCATCATCACTGCCTGCAGCCGCAGCTTCATTAGGGGGTGCGGCGGCAGCGGCGCCGCTAACACCATTGCCACCGCCACCCCCACCGCCGCCGGTCTCGTCGGGCACCTCCGGCGCCGTCGGCAGGCCTGGCTTGGCTGACAGCCCCATCGCCGCCAAGGCCGCCATCACGCTCACCTCCGAAACCTCGCCTGATTGGATTGGCGGCAGCTGACACCTGGCGATATTATTGCCACCTCTGCCCCTGCTGGCACGACTGCCGTATCCACCACCACCGCCGCCGCCGTTGCCGCCAGCACCACCGCCGGTACTGCCGTCGCTGTCGCTGGCGTCAGCCGTCGGCGGCCGCGGCGGCAACCCACCGCCAGAGCTGCGGCGACTGCTGCCGCCGCTTTTGTCACCACCAGTGCCTGCGAGCACGGCGAAGGGATTGACCGTCGGATCATTCGCCGCTGGGGGCTGGTGATGTGGCTGCTGCTGCGGCGGCGCTGGCGGGTGCTGCTGGTGGTGTGGCTCGTCCAGGCTGCGGCGGCCGCTCCCGCTGCTGCGGTGCTGCCCAGCACCAAGACCGCTAGGCCCATGAGGCTGGTGCTGACCGTGCTGCTGCTGCCCGCCGCGGCCGCCGCCGCCACCACCACCGGCATCGTTGCTCATCCGCTTCTGTCTCCCTGCCACATGCGCCGCCATGTAGCTGCCGCCCAAGGAAGCGGACCCAGAGGCGGAGGGTGACGAGGCGGTAGCGGAGGCGGTGGCGGCGGGGGAACCGACGGCGGGTGAGCCAGCCTGGCTGCCGGAGACGCGGCGGCGGTTGCCGCCACCGCCGCCGCCCCCGGCGTGGTGTGTCGGCGCGGCGGCCGGTATACCCATCGGGGCCGTCTTATGTGCGGCCTGGTTGATCTCATAGTCCTGTGAATGAAACGGGGTGGGGGAAGTGTGGCAGGGAAGAGGGGGAAA